GCATTTCCCAAAACACACTTCGCTCACCCTGGAGTAAGAAATGAGACTTAAAAAATGGTTTCTCCAAGTTTAAAACGTTTGGAAAATTCCACATTTTTCTTCCTTCTTGGCTACCCACACATCAAAAGCACTGAAAACTCCTATAATTAACTTTTGTTCTTGATTTAATGTTTCTCAAACACTTGCACATGAGACGCTTTCACACAATAATCATTAATTAAGGCTCACCAAAAGTTGAAGTGCCACACCAGGTTCAAATCTGCTGTGACAACAAAAGCATTCAACAACCCTGAACTGCTACTGCCACGGCACCACTCTTCTTCCCCCAACGTTAATCCAAAACTTGACAGTTCCTGCCTTCTGTTTCGTCATCACTCACTCACTTCTTCCCTCAGAAACATCTCTGCAGCCCCCAGAGGCCACTCAAAGGCTTCTCCCATCTGAGCAACGACTGCACAACCAGCAGAGCTAACAGCCTCTCTCTGGCTACTCGGTCCTTCCACGGGGTCACAAAGGAACATTCACACTTGACATTGTTCCCTCAGCTCCCACACTGCATTCCACCCACCTCTTTCGAGATCTCTTCTGGCTCCTCTTTCCCTTTCCACTCTTTACATTCTCAATATAACTCTTTCTTCTAAATTAAGCAAACTACCCACAGTTTGAAATACCGCTCCTTTATGGACCCACAACTCCACACTGTGCCATTTCTTTGACATCACAGATTCCACTTGTTCGTGTCACATTTCTCCAAAAGCCACACACTGAACCTGCTCCCATCAAGTTCATCAATTTCCCTAAGTTTTTCTTCTTCCTGTCATGATTCCTGTTAACACACTCACCATCTGTTTTCCACCTTCTTTCTCGGATGAAGAGCAGAGACCACTGCTCTCTCACCAGCATGCACACAACCCTCTGAACACGCCTACCATCCAGCCCAGCATGATGGCTCGAACTGCAATCCTCAGCCTGCAAGCACCAAGATCCCATACACACACTGGTCCTTGTCCCGGCTGCTCCACTTCCCATTCAGCTCCCGGCATATGGCTTGAGAAACCAGCCCAGGATGGCCAAAGCCTTGGGACACTGAACCCACAAGGGACACATAGAAGAAGCTTCTGGCTTTTGATTAGTGCAGCTCTAACTCTTGAAACACACACACACACACACACACACACACACACACACACACACACCCATCGTGGATTCTAACGACTTATCTAGATTTGAAACCCCATCAATCAGCTCTGCTAAAGCACAGCAGAAACTCAACACACTTGGAAAAATGGATGAATCATTTCCATGAAGGATTCAAAACCTCTGAATCATGCTCGTGGCTCACACTTCAAACTCTGATAACACGCCAAGTTCCCTCACACCTCTACAAGAACTCTTCGTTATTTTCATGTATAGAGCTACTGCTTCATTAGATTTAGATGAAACCCAAAACCTAAACTGTAACTTGTCTCCTACCCGGCAAGTCTCCAGTTTCCCTCGGCCTCCGAGTGACCACTGCTGCCCAGAGAAGTCCTCCAAACCACAACTCTAACCACCTCACTTCCTGGTCCCTACACCTCCAAAGGGTTCTCACCATCGCCAGAACACAGTCTCAAATCCTCAGCATGGAACACCACATGTCTGGATCTCTGGCATTCCATCTTTCCATCTTTATCTTTTACTATTCCCTGTGTTCGAGCCCAACAGTGAGCATACTAAGTGGGCTGAAGGCAGGCTACCGCCCATTTTCACACAGTTTGATCAGAACACAGCCATGCTTATTCATTTATATACTGTCTATGGCTGTCGTTGTGCTACAGCGGGAAGAGCAGAGAAGTTACAACAGAGAATAGGCGGTTTGAACTGCAAAGAACAGCCACACATCAGCCCTTCACAGAGCAAGTATGAAGACTTGTGTTCTAACAGGACAACTAGCCAGTCCTTGAAAGCAGCCTGTGTCTTCCAGCTTCGTTTCTTTCTGCTGTCACCATCTCTTGAAATGACCTTTCCTGGCATTTTTCCTAAATTATATGCGTTCTGTAAGATCAGCTCCAGTATCATTGTTGTCAAGATGAGCTGCCTCATCCTGAAGCCAAGGCTGAGGTTCTCTGGCTCCCACGTGACATCTCCACTTCACCTTCTTACTGACCACACTCGGTCTGATGCTATAAACATGCATGTTTTTACTTTTGTACTGCATACGTGTATGTGCGCGCGCACACACACACACACACACACACACACACACCCCTACAAGCACAATAGCACCTTGCTTCATGACCTTTAGTTGACTTGGACCCTTACAAGTTTAAATTTGGAGCTGAAATCAACCAGACAAAACCAGAGTAGATATTCTTATGGCTGAGGCACGGGTCTCCACATTCAACTGTACAAGACTCAAGCTGGGTTCAGCATTTTGGTGCAGTGCGTTAAGCCACCAGCTGTAATGCTAGCATCTTACATGAGTGTTGATTCAAGTTTCAACTGTCAGGTCCAGAATGATAACCTAGCAGCTAAAAGTCCTCGCCTTCCATGCACCAGGATCCCATATGGGTGACAGTTTGTATCCCAGCTGTTCCACTTCCCATCCAGCTCCCTGCTTATGGCCTGGGAAGGTAGTTGAAGATGGCTAAAGCCTTGGGACCCTGTGTGGCAGACCCAGAAGAAGCTCCTGGCTCCTGCTTTTGGACTGTCTCAGCTCCAGCTGTTGTTGTAGATACTTAGGAAGTGAATCAGCAGACAGAAGATCTTCCTGTCTTTCCTCCTCTCAAAGTCCCAACCATCCCATTTCCAATCTGGCTCCTGCTAGTGCACCTGAGAAAGTGGGAGAAGACGGCCTAACTGCTTGCACCCCTGTCACTCACGTAGGAGACCCAGGCAGAATTTCAGGCTCCTGGCTTCCATCTGGCCCAGTCCTTACTGTTACAGCCACTTAGGGAATGAAATGGTAGATGAAAGATCTCTCTTACTCTTTCAGCCTTTCAAACTAAAGATCTGCTGCTTCCTACAGTTAGACATGGGTGGAGCCACCCCTTATCTAAAAACAAAACAAACAAACAAAAAGACTTGGCAGCCATATATATTAGAATACACTTGGGCAGAATTTCTCAGGGTCAGCACAGTTCCTGTTTTAAGCCTGTAACTCCTTGCTGTACAGGTCTGTCCTGTGCACTGCAAAGTGTTTAACAGCAACTTTAGCCTCTACCCACCACACTCCAGCAGCATCTCCTCAGTGTAATGACCAAACATGCCTCCAGGCATTAGCAAATGTTCCCTCGGGGACAAAGGTGTCCCAATTGAAATCACTATTCTAGAAATCTCCAAGCACAGGCTAACAGTAAGATGCTTGTTGTTAATAAAATACAGATAGTCATTGTAGGACAGTGTCCAGATTAAGAGATAAGAGTCTACGTGTTGAGCATACTCAGTGCCAGTTGACTCACACTTGTAAGATTGCATTCAACTCAGGATGTTAAAAGGACTTTGGAAATCTGGAATTCATATCACCGGATGTGACCAGGCTGGGATTGGCAGTGTCACACTGTGGGCTAAAGCCACTGCTCCCAAAGCTGGCACCCTGGCTGAGGTCCCAGCTTCTCTTCCAGCACACTGCTCATGCACCTGAATGTCAGCCACAGACGCGGGGGACCAGGAGTGCCTGGCTCCCAGCTTCGGCCTGGCCCAGCTCCAGCTGCTGTGGCTATTTGGAGAGTGAATCGGAATGAGATCTCTCTCTCTCATGTTTCTCTGCCTTTGAAAAAAAAAAAAAAAAAGTGGCCAGGCTGATGGTGCAGTGAGAGGAAATGTCCATGGAGAGAACATTTAGTTGGTTGAAGTGTTCAGCCTGTACAAGAGATGATGATCTCTGCTAGCTGATGCGCTGCCCCACCGGAGGCAAGTCACTGAGGAAGGAAAAGGGGACCCTGAAGAGAGCAGATCTGGGTTCCACACACACCCAAGCTTTCTAGCAATCAGAGCTGGCCAGCAAAAGCACTGGGCTGTGCTGCAAGCGTTCAGACTGTGCTCGCAACGCGCTGGAGTGCATTCACTCTCAGACCAAATGAACCGATGTCAGAGATGCTGCAGTGAGCGTCCTGCAGGGGTAAAGCAAGACGGTCTCGCCAAGGCTCCCTCCAGGCCTGAGATGCCAGGCCAGCCAAGGCAAGGCCACGGATCACCAAGAAGCCACATGTACCAGCCAGGTGCAGTCTCAAGATGTGGATGAAAAATATTTTGCTATATAATTTACCCTCTCCCCACCTGGTCATACCTAGCTGCCGAGGTTGTAACTTTCAGTGAGTTACTTTCTTCTAATTGAACATGTAAGAGTGAGAAAAATATAACTTCCGGATAGTTACAATCGACCTGTAATAGTTCCTGGATATGCCATTTCACTGCCTTTACAACTTCCATCCTGCTAAGCATCACCACCCAGCATGCCTAGTAAAGTGCTTCGGGTTTTCAAAACATTCTGACAGGCATCTTAATCATGTTAATTAAATACAAAACGCAAAAACTAGTTTCTGATAACCTGCTCTCCTTTACTGCCTCTTGCTTGCATTTCCTACAAAAGAAAGCTGATCTTCAACCATTTTCACTAAGCTAATTAAGCATATTCCAACAGACACGCTTATCTCCGGAGCAAGCCACCTAGACAGCGCCCAATGGTCAGTCACAGCCAATGTCATTTTCCAATACGTCATGTCTATTCAGCTGAGCATCAGAATCACTGGCTTCCATGTGATATCCATTTTATGATCTGGGAATCAAAGTTTGGGAGAGTTGAAACTACAACTCCCAAATCTGAATGGCGCCATACAAATAACCCAAAAGTTCCCAAGCACAGTCACAATAAAAGATGACGCAAGCATGTTGTTGACAACTGGAGCCACTGGACGCCCCCATCACGGGGCCTCCCAGCCAGAACGACCAGCAAGGGCTTGGTGAGGTCTCGCCCCAAAGTTGAAAAGCGAAACCCAGCCCTCGCCCCAGGCTTTACTCACTTCCTTCCGTTTTGTTTCTGGACATTCCGACTGGAGCGTGAGAGTGGCACCCTCGATGTTTCTGGGCATGGGCGTGGACCCGGGGTTGATGGTCAGGTGGATCTGGTCCGGTGAGATGATGTGTTGTACGTAGCCCTGCGCCATCGCCTCCTGATCGATGAGGTGGAAGCCCTCTTCACCCCCCACCAGAAAAGGCAAGTGCTCCCCACACTGGCCATCATCGTCGTCCTCCTCCAAAGCGCCAGGGTCCTGCTCAATGAGAACAGTGGTCCTATCGTACACGGTTCCCGAGGAAGAAGGCACCAGTCCGTTTTTGTCCACGAACCTGAGCATCTTGTCTTCGGGGCTCAGCTCATCGTCCTCAGCCTCGAAGAAGACAATGTTGGTGTCGGGGCTGTGCTCCCCCATGGTTCGGTCGTGCTCAGCTTGACTCTGAGAGATGGGAAGGGAACGACCTCTCTGCAGGAGGAGACAGCTGCAGTCAGCCACACAACAAGCTCTACGGCCTCCACGGCAACCTCGCAGCCAAAGCAAGATAAAACTCATCTTCCTCTGGCATCACCACTATCTTTGATTTTAACTCAAAAATCAGTCATTATTTTTAAGGAAAAACAATGGCTTAAAACAACAAACCAACCTGATGTTAGTAGGGGCAGGTATTTGGCACAGTGGTTACGATACCTGCATCTCACACAAGACTGCCCAGGCCTGAGTCCTGGCTCATCAGTTTGCCAGTCCTGCCAATGCCCACCCTGGGAGGCAGCAGGCAGCCGAGCCACTGCCACTCCTGTGGAAGGCCCAGCCCGAGATCTGGGCTCCTGGCTTCAGCTTCACCCACCCACAGCCATCCTAGGCATCTGAGGAATGAACCAGCAGACGAAGCTTGTCTCTCTCTCTACTCTGTCCCTTTCTGCCTTTCAAATAAAATGAAAATAAACCATTTTAATAGAATAAGCAGCAGATCATACGACCTTTCTAAGTATCCCTTACTTTCAACCCACGTGAACATTGGTCAAAATACCCAAAGGGGATCAAGAAACAGAACAGCGGCTAGGCTACCTGGACACACCCTGGAAAGAAAGGTACCCTCAGTCGGACATCCTAGGAACCTCACGAGGTGGGACCCACCACGCCCTGCCGGGGATGGACAACTGCTGCTGGAGCAGTTTCTCAGTGCCTCACTCTTCCACCTAAGGTGAGACGAGCAGTTCCTGTTCTCTCCAGGTTGTGGTGAGAGGTAGAACAGAGAAAGTACCCAAAACAGAAATTGACACACAGTAAAGGAACCGGTGAGAATTCCTTCCCTCCTTCCTAGGACAGATGTTTCCGCCTGGGCAGTAGAGGGACATTTCCATCTATTTACATCCTTAAACGATTTGGCTGGCGTGAAGCAGAAGCTATGCTTGTGCAGCGAGCTGTTTTCCTTGACGTTTCCACAGCCCCTGGCATACGCTGACACCAGGAGTTGAGGAAATGTCAGTTAAAAGAAAGACCCGCAGAGACACACTCTCTCGGGGGAAGGCACACACTCTGGGAGGAGTATACTCCATCTGAATCTTTTCCGACGGTAGAAATAGTGATCCTTTCACCTGCCAACACACAGGTTCTACAAATGCGGGTCTAGTAGGCAAGGCAGACAATTTAAAACCCATCAGTACAGCACTTTCAGTTTTGCCTTTGGCTTTGCACTTTTTTTTTCCCTTTTGGGTGCAGAGTTAGTGAGCGTCACTGGGAGGAACCCGCTCGACCCCTTGGCTCTGGCTGACGCAACCCTGTGGGTGCACACTTGGCCACCTTGCTGAGGGGGGACAGACAAGTGCCCCGAGGGTCCGTTGGGGGCTCCTGCAACCTCAACGGCAACTATCCCGGACAAACAAGCCCAGGAGGCTGGAGACTGGCCTCCATGGAGTGCGGGGAGCGCACGCCGCAGCCTGCAGCCCGCCCGAAACACAGCCCCTCAGCACCCCAGGACACAGCCCCTCAGCAGTCCGCCTGCCCGGGTCACAGTCAAGCAGCCCGCCCACCTGGGTCACAGCCCCACAGCACCCCGGGTCACAGCCCCTCAGCAGCCCTCCCACCCGCCCGGGTCACAGCCCCTTAGCCCCTCAACAGCCTGCCCGGGTCACAGCCCCTCAGCAGCCCGCCCGCCCGGAACACAGCCCCACAGCCCCTCAGCCCCTCAGCAGCCCGCCCGCCCGCCCGCCCGGGACACAGCCCCGCAGCCCCTCAGCCCCTCAGCAGCCCGCCCGCCCGCCCGGGACACAGCCCCGCAGCCCCTCAGCCCCTCAGCAGCCCGCCCGGGTCACAGCCCTTCAGCCCCGCAGCACCCCGGGTCACAGTCCCTCAGCAGCCCGCCCGGGTCACAGCCCTGCAGCCGCGTGCCTGGGTCACAGCCCCGCAACCCGTCCGGGACAGCCTTCGGGGCGCTCCACGCCGAGCCCAGAGGGGCAGGGTCCGGATCTCCATGGAAACAGGGGAGGGGGACTGGATACCCATCCCCATGGAAACCACAGAGGGGTGGGGTCCCTGTGGTGCCAGACGGAGGGAGTCTAACGGGAAACGCTCCAGGAGGAAGCCCAAGTCCCAAGCGCCCCCCGGCAAGTCCCCAGCCCAGGCCGAGGATAGCTTCGCCTTTTACCTCCGCGGCTCCCGGCAACGGCGGCGGCAGCAGCTTCTCCCCTCCCCAGCGGCACCATGATTACCCCCACCGTCCCTTCACGTCACTTCCGCTTCCGCTTTCCGGAGGAAGGTGTGGACAACGGCTCCGCCACTCTGATTGGCTCGGGCGGTCGGGGGGCCGAGCCCAAGTCTCCAATTGGCGGGCGGCAGGGGCGGGACGCCGCCCGAGCCGCGAGTAGGTCCGGCGCCGGGAAGCGTCCTGGGTGTTCCCCGAGACGCGAGAGAAAAGGCAGCGACTGCCGCCGACTGCTGGTCCAGAATGGCCTGGGCTCAGGCTGGGCTAGCTGGCCGTCCTCGGCCCGGCGCCACAGCCGTGACGGGCAGGTCCCCGGGGCGCCGCCGGCATGCCGGCTCGGCCCCGTGAGGGAGACAGCTGAGAAGCCTAGGCTGCCCCAACTTCCTCCCGGAGTTGACAGGGGCAGGAGGGGCCGGGCGTGTCCCAAGCCGGCCAGCAGGACGCGGTGCCCTCTCCGCGCGTCCCCACACTGCCCGGCCCATCGCCTCCTCCGACTCCTGCCTCAGCTGCCTCAATTTCCTTCCCGGCGTCCCGGGGGCTCGCGCCCGGGCTGCCTGGCGCCATCTACTGGCTGCTTCCTTTCCTCCGGCGTCCACCCTGTCACCCTACCGTCCCCTACCTAAATCACATTTTACAGGGCCAGGAAAAGCAAGGCATTCCAGAGCCCACGCAGCTATTTTGCCTTTCCTTATACTCCCGTCTTTTCTGAAATCCTAGAAAATGTCGCTGTTAGATTCTCCCGGCAGTTACTGCCTGCCTCAGTCGTAAGCCACCTCTGGAATATTCGCGGCCCCGGCCCAGACACCAAGGAGTTCAGGCTATGGCGGCACCATCCCATCTCTTGCTTGGAGAACAGAAACAGTAGCCCTTACCCAGTAGGCTGCCAAGCACATGCCTTTCTAGCCCCTGACCAACAGCGCTAATGCGTAAGCCTCAAACGACGAGCTGCTAAGCACTTTGTAACAGATGAAAACACACAACTGCTGTTAAAAATATATTTCTCATTAAAATATATTACATATGTGAGAGGATGCATTATTTACAGCATGGAGGATTTCATGGGTCCCGAAATGCCCACCGATTCACAGGAACACCAACTGGTTCAGTGCTGGAACTCTAAAGCCACTGTGTTGCCCTCGGCAGCCAAGTGGCCAGCCTCGTGTCCAGGCGGGAGAGGGGTGGTGTTCCCTTGCGCGTATACTCGTGCCCCAGACCGAACCCCGGGAGTCTCTCGGGCGGCTAAGGCCTCTGGCTTCAGCAGCACCTATTGTGTCCTTGCTCTCCAGTATGTTCTTCTGGGACTCCAAAATTTGTCCCAGCATCTGACTGGAGCGCTCAGGCGAGGCTATAGGGAAGGCACTGACTGCCCTGGAGACCAGCTGAATGAGCACAGTCCAATTGCTTTAAATTAAAAACAGAGATTCGTGTTACAGAAATGAAGTGGAACCTCAAATGTCAGTTTTACTGTGGTGGCTCTTGTCCCTGTCTCCATGACTCATGGCAGCACGGAGTGTGCTAACCCACAGCCAGAGGAGGACGTCCAGGCTCAGGGCACAGGCAGCTGCCGCTCCTCTTGCCAGACATCGCTGACGCCCAAACATGTGGGGCTGGTCACTGGCCGCCTCAGGTAAAACGGGAAGCGAGGCAGCTCAGAGTGGGTTGCAGAGGAACTGGTGGATAAATTCCTGAGCCTTCTTCTTCTCGGCCATTTCCAGCTTCTGGTGACCAGCTGGGTTTCGAAGCAGTAAACTTCCAAATATGCTGGCTGCAAGAGAAAACACGGAAAACAAATTATTTGGGCAAAGAGGATCCTGCTGATTGTTGTGCCGTCAGGAAGGGAGAGAGCAGCATTTCCTGCTAGCCACCAGCAGCGGCAACGCTGAGGATGAGCTTGGCTCAGCGCTGGAGGCTTCAAGCTTCCTGGCAGGGGACCTCTGCAACCGCACTTCCCAACGTGTCTCACAGTTCAGAGACCCTTCCACAGACAAGTGGCTGCTCACCTAGGATATTCTCATCCAAGTGATTTTTTATTGAATTTTTCAGCAACTCTTGCAAAAAGGCCATCAAGTAGTTGAAGACATTTTTGTGGAATGTGGGGAGAGTAGCAATTACCTGAAAAGGGGATAATTGGGATTTAGCTTTCTGTTCATTCAATCACTTGTCACATTCCCATTATATTCCGGAACTCAACACAGACAGAAGTGCAAGAGTTATATCGTGCCCAGAAAACATTGATCATTACCCACTTGCTGCTTGCACCAGGAAAGACACACAGCTCAAACACTGCATGAATGCAGAGGTCAAACTTCTAACTTAGGAACAGAAGACATTTTAGTTGAGTCTCAGGTGGGAGACAAAACTGGACTTGCCAGAACTTAATGCAAAGGAAGTATATGGAAAAAAGGCAAGAGAAGGAAAACAGTGATGTAAGCAAAAAATAGAAACATTCTTACAAGCCAATTTTGATCGGAGTATAACTGTATATCGCAATCAGTTGGGGCTCTTAAACAGACAGATTCTAGTCCTGTAAATCTGGGGTAAAGCTCAAACCTGTATTTTGGCGGCTGTCTGCGTTATTCCGCCAGACCCTGATGAGCTCTGTCAGCCACTAGATTTGAGCCTAAGAAAGTAACTGATTGGTAACGGACAGTCAAGTACAGTTTTTGACCAACAGGAACACGACAAGTGCTTTTAGAACACGCAGTCCAATGGCACTCTGCAAAACAAGCCAGCAGAGGGAGAGCCTCATCCAGGGCAGGGAACCAAGAGTGTCATGAGCTTGGAAGAGAGCATGAGCGACAGCTGAATGGGACCCGCGGGTGGGAGGGAAAGGGAGGACCGAGTCAGTGATGACTCAGGTTTCAGGGCTGAGTCACTGGAAGGAAGATGCACGGACAGAAGAAGGGACAGGGAGGAAGAACTGGTTTGAGAAGGAAGACGACGGTGTGGAGCTGCTGAGACGTCACACCTGAAGGACGGTGTCCACTGGCTCCCTTGGGCCTCGGCTGTGCTTGGAGGCTTCCTGCTTGCCCTCACCTGTTTGCTTGCTGTGTAACTGCCGCAGGACTCCAGGCAGTGCTGATAGGCACTGTAGCAGATGACTGGCTCAGGCAGACTCTCCAGGAAAAGCAGCAAGGCTTCAGCCACCGAATGATTGCTAGCAGCTTTTGACCCCTCGTTAAGGAAGAGCTGCTCATGCTGCCCCCCATTAGGAACAGGCCTAGGAGCAAGTAGGACCAGAAGGGCTGCCTGCCCAGTCAGGCTCTCCTCTGTTCAGAGCTAGGATGCTAAGTGGGCACTTCAAAGGGGTCACTGTGTGTACCAGGCGAGTTGGGCCCGCCTCAGCACCTGCTACATTGGTTCTGACTTAAAAGTCAGAAAAGCAGGATAACTGAGGACACAGTATCAAACTTTGTCTTAAAATATTTTTTCCTTTCCTCCCTCGTCATCCACACATATAACTGCGCGCTCTCTCTCTCTCTCTCTCTCGGTCTCTCACACACCCCAGAAGTCTGAAGGATACAGAGGTTATCCATCATTCCAGTATCCAGACAGTCCCTAACATGTTCAAATTCAGACCTCAGGCCTGGTTGCTGAAAAAGATCTTCCTATAAAAAGAAAAAAAAAAGTTATAAAACATTTATTTTCTCAGAAAATCATTTCCTGACTAAGCAATATCACCAGCAGAGTCCAAAAAGGAATAGTAAGATCTCTGAAACACCCAGGCAGACATTGTGGGGTAGGCTCATGTGACTAATTCATCTTGCAAGCCTTCCCAGATCTGTTCCTACAGCAGGTCTTCAGGAAAGTCTTACAAAAACCCCGGGTTAGAAGATGCAGTGTAAAGCAACCTCCAAAGCAGCTGTGTTTCCCGCAGTGCTGTGGGACGGATAACCAGCAGGAAGGCAGACATGCTAAACATACCAAGAACAAAGTGGAGAAAGCTAAAAAGGAATCTTAGTACTTTGGGAAAAGTCTAGTCTCAAGAACTTTAGTTAGTCTCGAGAACTAAAAGTTAGTCTCAAGAACTTTACATTCATTTACTTTGATACGCCTTAACATCAGGGCCGGCACGGAGGCATAGCAAGCAGTTATTCCTCCACATGTGGCAAGGCATCCCATATGGGTGCCAGTTCATATCCCAGCTGCTCCGTTTCTGACCCAGTTCCCTACTAATGCCCTAGGAAAGCACTGGAAGATAGCCCTGCATGCACGTGAAATATCGGGAAGCAGTTTTTGGTTCCTGGCTTCAGACCAATCCTGCTCTGGCTGTTGCAGCCATTTGGGGAGTGAAACAGCAGGTGGAAGATTCTCTCCGGCCCCCTCTCTCCTCCTCACCGTACTTCTGACTTTCAAGTAAAATAAATAAACCTTTTTTTTTTAAAGATTTATTTTTATTGTTAAGTCGAGTATGCAGAGAGAAGGAGAGAGAGGAAGATCTTCTGTCTGATGATTCATTACCCAAGTGGCCACATCAGTTGGAGCAACACCGATTTGAAGCCAGGAGCCAGGAGCTTTTTCTGGGTCTCCCACACGGGTGTAATGTTCCAAGGCCTTGGGCTGTCCTTGACTGCTTTCCCAGGCCACAAGCAGGGAGCTGGATGGGAAGCGGAGCCGCAAGGATTAGAACCAGTGCCCGTATGAGATCCTGGTGCATGCAAGGTGAGGACTTTAACCACTAGGCTATCGTGCCAGGCCCAATAAATAAGTCTTTAAAAAAAAAAAAGAAGAAGAGCCAGATCTAAGGTACTATATAGTACCGTAATAACACAATAACATTCCATGTGTGGCTCAAAACTCCTTGGAAAAGAACCACAAAATTTCTTCAATGTGATTTCCACAACTAGATGCCCAAGTTTAAAGTTCATTCTTCCCACTGATCGGCCTTGGGACTCTAGCCAAGCATTCCCCTTTCTGGATATCTGTTTCCTCTATTGAAAGCTACTTTGAGAACTAAACGGGTTATGCTGTGAGACTCTTGGAATACTGCTTGGTATAATGTAACACTGAATAACTGTGAAGAAAAAAAGAAAAAGTGAAAACAGGATATGCTAAGAAGGTATGTTGCCAGGGGAACATACTTTATGTAATCCAGGAACCTAGAGAAACAGGTGAGTGAAAGTGATGAACGGCATGAAGCCTGTCCCAGTCAGTCCAGAAACCAGCCCTTGAGATGCACGGTCCAGTGCTTCCACGAGGTTAGCCCCTCCCATTCCCAGAAGCTGCTCAAAAACTGCAGAGGAGGCCAGGATGTCATCCCTAGCGGGCCCCCAGATGGCTCGGGGCTCCAGGGGCCAGCCCCAGGAACACACTGTGCCGGGAAGGCTCCCCTGCAGATAAGCAAGGACTGCGTGTAACTCACGCCTCACAGGGCCGTGGCAGTTGGCACCCAGCGACCTCTCACTCACTCCCTGGGAGAAGAGCCCTCCTCCACACTTTCCGGGGGCAAAGTCTTTCCATGCAGAAGGTTCTGGAGGTGTACGTGCTTTCCCCAGGCAGCCACACCGCTCGCCTCAGCCTACCTGCTGCACAGCATTTCGGTACAGGTAATCAACCATCATCCAGAGTTCCTTGGGGATCTCCATGGGGCTCTCCGGCCGGCTCCCGTCATCCTCAGTCGGTACTGGCATCAGAGTCTGAAAGCAAAGAGAAAGCATGACAAGACGGCTCATCTACGGAACTTCTGCAGGTTGGCTTCAGCTGTGTGCGTGACATGGGGACAGCAAACCCACAGCAAAAGGGAAGTCCGACACCCTGACCTAAACATTTCACAGGCAAAATGAAACCAAACAGCACAATGAAAAGACAGAAAGGGATTTTGAGACACGAGAGAAGGTTATGGCAAGCAGTTTCAATCAATCAGCAGGAATACGCACTCGCTGTTTTTGAAAAAAACCAAACACCTACGCCCATGGCTTTTCACTACTGGAGCCAGGAAGACACTGTGCTCTGATGAGGAAGAGCAGACGCGGGAGTTCACAGCTCTGGGTTCACTGCTCACTCAGCACGCACGAGCCTGACCAATTACTCTCCTGGACTGGGCCTCATGCAGAGGGTAGGTCAGCAAGTGTTAACTTGAAAACGCATTGGAATCACAATCTGTCACCCTCATAAAAACTCCCTTATGTTAAAATTATCTTTTAGATCTCAGTAAATTTAGTTTAGAATAGTAAACCACAAAGTGATGATTTTTTTTTCTTAATGAATAATATCACGTATGGCGCAGTAGCCTAGTGGCTGAAGTCCTTGCCTTGCACGCAACAGGATCCTATATGTATACCGGTTCTAATCCTGGTGGCCCTGCTTCCCATCCAGCTCCCTGCTTGTGACCTGGGAAAGCAATCGAGGATGGTCCAAAGCCTTGGGACATTACACCCGCGTGGGAGACCAAGAAGAAGCTCCTGGCTCCTGGCTTTGGATCGGCACAGCTCCAACTGATGCAGCTGCTTGGGTAATGAAACAAGACAGAAGATCTTCCTCTCTCTCTCTCCTCCTTTCTGTATACCAATAAAAAAAATAAAACAAATCTTTAATAATAATAATAAAAAGAAACCATGTTTGTGGAGCCTGGCACAACTGCCTAGTGGCTAAATCATTGCCTTGCAACCACTGGGATACCATATGGGTGCTGGTTCATATCCCAGCTGCTCCACTTTCCATCCAGCTCCCTCCTATGGCTTGGGACAGCAGTAGAGGATGGTCCAAAGCCTTGGGACCCTGCATCCTTGTGGGAGACCTGGAGGAAGCTCCTGGCTGCTGGCTTCAAATCAGCTCAGATCCGGCCACTGCAACCACTTGGGCAATGGATTAGCAGACGGAAGAACTTTTTCTCTGACTCTTCTTCTCTCTGTAAATCTGCCTTTCCAATAAATAAAAAAATTTTTTAAATATACATATTTTTATGTTTATTTTGGGTGCTGATGCAATGGCTCAAGTGGCTAATCTTCAGCCTTACACACATCACGATCCAATATGGGCACTAGTTCGTGTCTCTATCTGCTCCACTCCCCATCCAGCTCCCTGCATATGGCCTGGGAAAGCAGCAGCAGATGACTCAAGGCCCTGGGACCCTGCACTCATGTGGGAAGCCACAGGAAGTTCCTGACTCCCGGTTTCGGAGTGGCTCAGCTATGGCCATTGCAACCATTTGGGAAGTGAAACAGTGGATAGAAAATCCTTCACTCTGCCTCTCCTTCATTCTGTAAATCTGCCTTTCCAGTAAAAATAAATCAATCTCTTTTTTTAAGTTTATTTTTACTTATTTTGAAAGGCGTAACAAGAGTGAGACAGAGGGTACAAGAGAGAATCTTCCACTTGCTGGATCATTCCCTAAAAGCCAGCCACAGCTGGGCTGGGCCAGGCCGGTCAGCAGCCAGGCACTCCATATGGATTTCCAACGTGTAGGCAGGGACCCAAGGATGCAAGCCACCATCTCCTACCTCTCAGGCGCACACTAGCTGGAAGCTGGGTTGAAGCAGAGTACCTGATCTCAGGCATTCCTTAGGGCTACAGACATCGCAAGTAGCTTATCCCGCTGCCCAACACCACCTACTACAAAATAAATGTTTATATTCCAAAAATCCATGTGCTGAAATCTAACCTTCAATTAGGGCATTTGGAGATGGGGCTTCTGAGTACACCATAAGGGCTTTGCCCTTTGGAATAGGGTGCCCTAAAAACTGAGACACCCACCCCCCCCACCCCCAGAGCTCCCTTACTTTCTGCCCTGTGAGGTCGCAGTAGGAAGACTTTCATCTGTGACCCAGGAAGCCAGTCCTCAGCAGAGAGCAGACCAGCAGACCCCTCTGTCCCAGATTCACCAGGCTCTGGACTGCAGGAAACAGGTATCTGCCGGTATCTGCCTTTTAGGAGCCACCTGCCTATGACATTCTGGCATTGCAGCCCCAGTGGATGAAACCATGCAGCATGTGCAAAGACTGAAAACATGGTTTCAACATTTTGCAGCTTTTCCCATCAAGAAGCAGAGTCCTTCTCCACCCCTGCTATCTGGGCTGGCTTTCCACTCATCGTGACCAATGCCTGGCAGAAATAGTGTCATGTGAACTTGGGAGCCATTGCTACAAAAGGCCTCACAACTCCTGCCTTCATGTTCTTGCCTACAGAAGCCTGAGCCAGCCTACTATGTGATGTGAACCCTTGTGGAGACACAGCCAGAGAGCGACCAACACCAAGACATGAGGGGGAGGCCACCTTGACCCTTTAGCCCATACCACAGCTGCCAGCTGCTTACAATGGCACAAGTGAGCTTAGGCATGGCTAGCAGAAGAAACCCACAGTTAGGAGGAACAGTAACTCATTGTTTGATCATCAACCATTCATCTCTTCATCATTTGAGATCTGTCCTCGGCCTCCGGTGCTTCTCATGACGTGAACAACAACTGCACAACCAGCAGAGCTAACAGCTTCTGCAGGGTCACAAAGAAATAGTCACACTTGACATTCCTCCCTCAGCTTCCACACAACTGCATCCCACCCACCTCTTCTGATACTGAGATCTGTTCTGGTTCCTCCTTCTCTTTCCCCTCTTTCTATTCTCCTTCAGTAAACCGCTCACAGTTGAAACACGGCCCCCTCACAGAGCAACAATTCTAATGCTATCCCATTTCCTTGACTTCAGATTACAATTTACAACGGGCTTTCAACTTGTTCATAGTAAAATTTCAGGGCAGTCTTGTGCATTAACAATATACAACTGACATAGAGGCAAATTTTAAAAGGCTGGTAATTCTTAACTCCCCAAGAGAGTAAGCATCTTGCTGGAAAGGCTTGGGTAGCTGCCACATGGTAATGGCTGTCTCCTCCTGACATGTTACTTACCAGCTCGCTAACAGTTTCAAGTGGTAGGTACAAGATTGGATCCTTCATGTAGCACAATGTATGAATGGGAGACCCGAAACAGCTGGGCAGGTAGTTCCCAGACACAGACAAAAAATAATCCTTTCCCCTGTCCAGGTGCAAAACCAAAATATCCTCAATTTTGTCTTCCCCGGAGTTGAGCTTGGTAGCTGTGGTCTTATTCACGAAGAGTTCCAGCTCAATCTCAATGGCAGAGTCTGCAGGGAAAAAAATGAAGCAAGCAATTGAGGCTAGGAGGAAGGCCGGGGCAAGGGAGGGAAGAGGGTACAGACAAGAAGAACTCGGAGAGCAAAGTAGTAACTAACCAACAAGCAGCTATTGCCCAGCACCCAGGACATTCAAGACCAAGGAGCTGACACACCAAATGGAAAGATAAAAACAAAAATACTTGTGGGCCCAATGGCGTGGCCTAGCGGCTAAAGTCCTTGCCTTGAATGTACTTGGATCCCATATGGGCACCGGTTCTAATCCCAGCAGCCTCACTTCCCATCCAGCTCCCTGCTTGTGGCCTGGAAAAGCAGTCGAGGACGGTCCAAGGTTTTGAGACCCAGCACCCACATGGGAGATCCAGAAGAGGTTCCTGGTTCCCGGTTTTGGATCAGCGCAGCACCGGCCGTTGTGGTCACTTGGGGAGTGAATCATTGGGTGGAAGATCTTCCTCTCTGTCTCTCCTCCTCTCTGTATATCTAACTTTGTAATAAAAAAATAAATAAATCTTTTTAAAAAAACTTGCATAAGTAAATGCTAAAAGAAAAAAAATCAAGCCATTAAGTAGCAGAGAGAGCGCAGGTTGAAAATGTTAATACAAGGCAAGGGGATGGATCAGAATCCTCCCTGGGCCAGGTAAGATGAAACACAACGCATTTATCAGCCTATGTATTGTCCATGAAACTCTCTAACACCCCTGCCACACAGCACCATGCAGAGCGCAAAGCAGATGCGGGACAATGACATGCATGGGACGTTGCCAGCCAGACGGGATCTCTGCATTGCAACCCCAGCTACTCCATGACAGGAGACAACTGTCTGCTGATGATAGGGAAGAGATTAACAAAAAAGTTCCTTTAGCAGTACCCAATCTAATGTTTTCCTGTAGAATTGCAGGACACTAAAACTAACCGGATGCACCTTGTTAGTATCTAATTTATTTATGAATGGGTTCAGCAATGGAGCCTTAAAAAAAGTTTGAAGAAATGATTAAAGCACTTAGAGAAAAATGTTTATTTTAGAAAAAAAGAACAAAGACAGGGAGGGCATTCTCCAAATAAGACACCACGAGCCTGAAGACTGAGACCTTACCTGGCAGAAGAAAACCTCGGCTGGGATTGGCACTTAACCACTGCTTACAGTAAGACTGTTCATCAGGCTTGTTGATAAATTCAAACTGACAGGGTACTTGGCCGTTGTGAATTGTAAAGGATTCCACTTGCAACTGCATGTACTTCACATTCTGAAAACAGAACTGGGGACAAGCCCAGGAGCAGTCACAAACAGTGCTGTCTGCTCTGCAACCTGCCCAGCCATCCCTGCCGAGCAATCCCTCCAACGAAAACCAAACAAATGTAGGACCATCTCTTGGAAATCTTTCTGCTCTAAAATTATCTGGGAGGCCACAGCTACCACTAACCACACCAAACAAAACTGCATTTAGGGCCTGGTGCCTGGGCCTAGCAAATAAAGTCCTCACTTTGAACGTGCCAGGATCCCATATGGGCTCCGGTTCTAATCCCGGCAGCCCCCTTCCCATCCAGCTCCCTGGTTTGTGGCCTGGGAAAGCAATAGAGGACAGCCCAAGCCTTGGGACCCTCCACCCACATGGGAGATCCAGAAGTAGTTCTGGGTTCCTGGCTTCAGATTGGCTCAGCTCCAACCGTTGTGCTCACTTGGGGAGTGAATCATCGGATGGAAGACCTTCCTCTCTGTCTCTCCTCTTCTCTCTATATATCTGCTTTTCCAATAAGAATAAATAAATCATAGAAAAAAAAAAACCCTGCATTTAACTTTAAACCCCCAAATGCCAAGAACTCAAAGCCATTTAAAGAATAGATTTCCAAGGTGGCTCTGGGCTGGGCCTGTCTGGAGTCAATTTGGTCCTGCCTGCTCCTCAGGAGCATCAGGAGGCTGCAGTGGCCTGCTAGGGGTCCTTCTGCACCCATCCAGCCGGCGGCAGCAGAGGTGGCTCCAGACTGGGCGGCGCAGGCACCAATGACACTGGGTGCAGTCCTCAGGCTGCCTGGCGGCAGCACACCCTAAAACCTTGGATTTGTAGGCTTTCATGGGATATGGGCAATGGCACAAGTGAGGCTGAGCGGAACCTCAGGATTCACGCCCAGGAGAGGAACGGCTATTATAGCACATCAGTGGACAAGGCCACTGTACTTTCAGGCAGGTGAGGGTTCTGAGTTGGAGTGGGAAGACATTTAAAGGTCAGCATTTCAGAAGTATCCAAACCACTTGGGCAGAACCCACAGAACACGCACTGCATTGGGACCCTGGGTTGATAATGGGTGGCGGTTCCCCATCCCTGGGTACTGCGACATTTGGGAGGCTGTGTGTGGCTTCTCTCTTTAACTTTTCTCTTCCCCCAGAGACAAGAAGAAATAGAGAACTTGGAAACAATTATTTCACCCACTTTTCCCTAACCCTAGATCCTTCTCTCCCTGGCCAACTATTTAATCATCAGCAAAAATAAAAATTTTTAAAAAAGCAGATTTCCCAAGGAAGTTGACATTTCTTTCTTATCCAATAACCATTTCCAAAGTACATTTTTCATTTCATCCCTCAACATGCAGGTCAAGCTCATCCTTTCCAGTAACTGTGTGTGTACAGCTTCAAAAATGCCTTGCAAGAGGACAGTTGTGGTATCATAGTTTAAGCTGCTGCTTATGATGCTGGCAGCTCTTCTCAGACCGCAGGTTCAAGTCCTGGTGGCTCTGCTTCCAATCCAGCTCCCTGCTAATATGCTTGGGAAAGCAGCAGATTGTGGCCTGAGCACTTGGGCCCTGGCCCTGCTTTAGCAGACCAGGATGGATTTCCGGTCTCTTGGCTTTGCCCTAGCCCAGCCCTAACAACTGTGGCCAGCTGAAGAGTGAACCAGCAAATAGGAAATCTCTCCTCATCCTGTCTCTTGAATAAATAAACACTTGAAAGACAAAAATGTTAAATAGCCCCATTTGGCTGACTGTGTGGTATTATCAACTTTGAAGGATCTATGCTGTGTGTCTTTCATGAAAAACACTGAAACATAACTGAACTTCTCCTACGGTTGATCACGTTTCTATACTGCCTTCTGCCTCATCAACTTGAGTATGTGTATACAATTCAGGATCAAATTAACCTGAAAGCAATGCCTCAGTTGGAAGGCAAATCCTTCGTGAGAATGTATACTAATTATTGTAAAATCAAACTAAACGCATCAGAATCCTCTGGCTTAGAAGATCAGGACACGAATCCGACCCACACCCGCCACCCCGTCTCCCCACAGCTGGCAGCACCCTCACTTTCTCTTAAAGCACACTACCCAGAAAGTCCAATAGTGTGCCAAGTGCTTCCAGGAACTCTGAGCTCTAGAACAGGGAAGTTTCCGGCCCAAAAATGGAAAAGCTCAGTGCTAACATCCTGAGCATGTCTCCCTTACCTCCCTCTTAGAGAGGGACACAGAAGGAATGTTGGCATTTTCCATTTTATCCAGGGAGCGAATAATTTCCTCCAGAGTCTTCCGATAAAGTTCTTCATTGATGACCCTCACCTGCAGGGTAAAAAGTGGTCACTGAGGGCCTTGACTTTGCCCCGTTTCCTCTTTTTACAGTGGGGAAGGAATTGAAAGCAGAGGGAACTAACATTTGACAGAAAACCTGAAAGTGAAGGCTGAGTAGATTGAATAAGTGAACAACGAACTCAAGAGACAATGCTTGTGGTAACGTCAGCTGCTGCCTGATGAACAAATGAAGGACCCAGGGGTAAAGGTGCCACGGTGGGCAGCTGGTTCTGCAGAGGGTCCAGGCCCAGAACAGCAGGATGCTCAGTGGTACTGGGCTTTCCACCACTAACAGTTCTACAAAGAGAAGCTCTTCGAAGGGCTTTGAATGAAAGCAGCCTTTTAAGCTCTTTAAACTAGGGTCCATCAGCCAAGAAGATTTTTGTGGGTCTCTCCTGACTGTATTTTTTTTTTTTAAGATTTATTTAGGGCTCGGCGGCGTGGCCTAGTGGCTAAAGTGCTCACCTTGAACGCACAGGGATCCCATATGGGCACCGGTTCTAATCCCGGCAGCTCCACTTCCCATCCAGTTCCCTGCTTGTGGACTAGGAAAACAATAGAGGACAGCCCAAGACTTTGGGACCCTGCAGCCTAATGGGAGACCCGGAAGAAGTTCCTGGATCCTAGCTTCGATCGGCATAGCATCGACTGTTGTGGCCACTTGGAGAGTAAATCATCGGATGGAGGATGTTCCTGTCGCTCCTCGTATAGCTGACTTTACAATAAATAAATAAATAAATTTTTTTTAAAGATTTATTTTATTTTTATTGTAAAGGCAGATATACAGAGAGGAGAGACAGAGAGGAAGATCTTCCATCCAATGATTCATTCCCCAAGTGAGCGCAACGGCCGATGCTATGCTGATCCAAAGCCAGGAGCCTCTTCTGGGTTTCCCACGTGGCTGCAGGATCCCAAAGCTTTGGGCCGTCCTCGACTGCTTTCCCAGGCCACAAGCGGGGAGCTGGATGAGAAGAGGGGCCGCCGGGATTAGAACCAGGCCCATATGGGATCCCGGGCGTGCAAGGCAAGGACCTTAACCACTGCGCCATCGCCCCGGGCCAATAAATATTTTTTTTAAAAAAAGATTTATTTATTTTCATTACAAAGACAGCTATACAGAGAGGAAGAGAGACAGAGAGGAAGATCTTCCGTCCAATGATTCACTCCCCAAGTGACCACAATGGCCGGTGCTTTGCCGATCCGAAGCCGGAATCCAGGAAATTCTTTCAGGTCTCCCACGGGGGTGCAGGGTCCCAAAGCTTTGGGCCGTCCTGAACTGCTTTCCCAGGCCACAAGCAGGGAGCTGGATGGGAAGTGAAGCTGCCGGGATTAGAACCAGCGCCCATATGGGATCCTGGCATATTCAAGGTGAGGACTTTAGCTGCTAGGCCACGCCACTGGGCCCTCCTACCTGTATTTTTAGTTAAAAACACATTTTACGAATGTTTCTGGTTCTGGCGCGGTAGTCTAGTAGCTAAAGTCCTCACCTTGCATGTGCTGGCATCCCATGTCGGCGCCAGTTCATGTCCCAGCTGTTCCACCTCACATCCAGCTTCCTGCTTGTGCCTGTCCCAAGACTTTGGGACCCTGCACCCGCGTGGGAGACCCGGAAGAGCTCCTGGCTCCTGGTCTCAGCTCTAGCTGTTGCAGCCACTTGGGGAGTGAACCAGTGAATGGAAGATCTTTCTGTCTGTCCTCTTTGTAAGTCTGCTTTTCCAATAGAAATAAATTTTTTTTAAGCTTTATTTTTATTATTTTTTTATTGGAAAGGCAGATATACAGAGAGGAGAGACAGAGAGGAAGATCTTCCATCTGATGATGCACTCCCCAAGTGAGCACAACGGCCGATGCTATGCTGATTCAAAGCCAGGAGCCTCTTCTGGGTCTCCCATGCAGATGCAGGGTCCCAAAGCTTTGGGCCGTCCTCGACTGCCTTCCCGGGCCACAGGCAGGGAGCTGGAAGGGAAGCGGGGCTGCCGGGATAGAACCGGCGTCCATATGGGATCCCAGGCATGCAAGGCGAGGACCTTAACCACTTGCGCCACCGCGCCGGGCCCCAGAAATAAATTATTTTTTAAAAAATAGTTTCTTTCAAGACTTTAGTTATAACATCCATTTGGTTCTTCTCAAATGACTCTTAACCTCATAGATTCAAATACTTCTATCTATGCTGTTAAAAGTTGATAACTGAAAGAGTCATTAAAGAATACAAAATTAACAAAAGAAATTTGACCTTACTAGTAAACATGGAAATGTAAAATAAATGAAGAATCTTTTTCTCATTTGGATTGACAAAGAATTTAAGATTGATAAAATATAGAAAAATAAGATTATATATAAAGGAACTTAAAAAGTTGTGGAAAATTATAATTAAACAATAGTGCAAAGGGGGGGGGAGCCAGTACACAGGCTGGGCATATAGTCTAGAAGATGCACAGGTCCAATGTGAAAGTGCTTGGGTTCACTGTCCATCCTGGGCTTCCGACTAGCCTCCCACCTATGCAGACCATGGGAGGCAGTGATGATGGCTCAAATATTTTGGTACATGCCCCACAAATGAGCGCCAGAATTGCATTCTTGGCCAGCCCTGGCCATTGCAGGCATTTAGGGAGTAAACCAGCAGAAGGGAACAAATTCTCATAAATTAATGAATAAAATGGCAGGTGTAACATTTTTAGGCTGTTTTGTACATTCATAGAAGAGCAAAACAGCAAGAATTGTTAGGGAGACAATTTAACAGGCCTTAATAAACTTACAACCCACTTCTCTGGGGCAGGGAAAGCTGCTGCCTGCGATGCGGGCATCCCATACGGGGACCAGTCCACGTCCTAGCTGCTTCACTTCAGATCCAGCTCCCTGCTACACAGCTGTGAAAAGCAGAAGCTGGCCATCATGTGGACCCTGCCACCCACATGAGGAAACCCAGAAGCAGATCCCAGGTTCGGGATCTTGTTCAGCCCTGACAGCTGCAGATATCTAGGCAGGGAACTAGCAGGTGGAAGATCTCTTTCTCTCTCCAACTCTGACTTCCAAATATAAAAATACATCTTGAAAAAATATGTAAAATGGGGATTGGCATGATTGTTCAATGGCTAAATCATTGACTTGAATGCACCCATCCAGCTCCCTGCTTGTGGCCTGGGAAAGCAGTCGGGGACGGCCCAAAGCCTTGGGACCCTGCACCCACATGGGAGACCCAGAAGAGGCTTCCGGCTCCTGACTTTGGATCAGCATAGCTCAGCTGTTGCAGCCATTTGGGGAGTGAATCAGCAGATGGAAGATTTTTCTCTCTTTCCTTCTCCCTATAAATCTGACTTTCCAATAAAATAAATAATTCCTTACAAAATATGGACAGGCTCACAAAGGTGCATGACAGTCACTATAGCATTATGTATAATAACAAAACTTGGAAATCAAATGATGGATACAAATTATGGTTCATTCATAAAGTATTCACTTTGCAGGCTTCAAAAATAATGAGGGGGCCCAGAGGAGTAGCCTAGTGGATAACATATTCACCCTGCACTCATAGGATCCCATATGGGCGCTGGTTTGTGGCCCAGCTGCTTCACTTTCCCTCCAGCTTACAGGTTGTGGCCTGGGAAAGCAGTCGGGGACGGCCCAAAGCCTTGGGACCCTGCACCCGCATGGGAGACCCAGAAGAGGCTCCTGGCTTCGTACTGGCTCAGTTCCAGACACTGCGGTCACTTGGGGAATGAATCAGTGGATGGAAGATCTTTCTCTGTCTCTCCTCCTCTCTGTTAATCTGACTTTACAACAAAAATAAAGATTTTTAAAATAAAATTAAAATAATGAGGAAATTAGTAAATGCATAAGGGCCTGGAAAGATACAGTCCAAAGGCAAACAGAAATCCTTCTATGCACGTGGAAACACAGAAGTAAACCAAGCTGGGTAAGTTTAAAGGAAGCTTCTAGGTATGCAAAGGGAGGGGGGAGGCAGAAGACAGAAAGTAATCTTGATGTGAGAGCGGACCCCTTCCAGAGAGACGTACCCCGATGTCAAACACGGAGCTGACAGGCTTGTGGTCACTCGTCTTCAGGGCCATGTGGCTCTGGTAGCTCAGCTGCGTGATGTTCTTCCCTTTCCAGAGGATCCGGTCGCACCAGGCAGGAGCTCGACACTTCTCACTGAAAGGCCAAGTGCACGTTGGTGGCGTTCCCACAAACAGCAGGGCTCACTGCCTAGTTCCCTGGTTCGGCGGGCAATGACAAGGCAGAGCCCTCATGCCCATGCCACCCAGAGTTTTCAGATAGCAGGAGTGACTCAGACCCACCCAGGGATAACAAGTCGCCAAGGCAGCATCATTCAAAACAACGAGAAGAACAAACAAGCCCAACAACTAGGAGAGCTCAGAGCCAAACCAGCAGACTAAGTTTCAGTTCTTGATTCTCCCGTGAGGGCCAGGACAGGTAACACAGGCAGTCCGAGTAACTCTGCTATGGTACAGCATTTAAAGACTTTGCTTGGGGCACCTGCATTCCTTATCAGAGTGCCTGCTACAGTCCCAACTATACCACTTTGGATCCAGCTTCCTGCTAATGTGCCTGGAAACACAGCAGATGATGCCCTAAGTATGACAGCTCCACCACCCACATGGAAGACCTGGATGGAACTCCAGGCTCCTAGATTTGGTGTGGCTCAGTCCCAGATGTTGCAGCATTTAGACAGTAAACCAGTAGAGAGAAGATCTTTCTTGCTTTGTCTCTTCCACTCTGTCACTCTGCCTTTCACACAAATCAATATATCATTTTAAAAAGATTTGGAATTCTATTTCCCTGGTTCAAATCCTGCCTCTGTTATGTGTCTTTAATTTCCCCCTTCCAAGTTTTAGTTTTTTTGTTTGTTTGTTTTTGTTTTTTTATCTATTTATGTATCTTAAAGGCAGAGTTACAGAGGGCCAGAAAGAGATCTTCCATCTGCTGCTTTATTCCCCAAGTGGCTGCAATGGCGAGGGCTGAGATAGAACAAAGGGTTTCTTCTGGGTCTCCCACAGAGTTGTAGCAGTTTGAAGTCTTGGGTCTTCCTTTAAAACTTTGAGGTCCGTTAACAGGAAGCTGGACTGGAAATGGAGCAGCAGGGACTTGAAGAGGTACACGTTCAGTCTGCTGCAGCCGCAATGACTAGTTCACCTGCTACGCCACAAAGCTGGCCCCTTACCTTTATTTTTCTATCCCTCGATCTGATATAATAAAAAGACTATTATATATATGTATATATATACATACATATATATATACACACCTCAATGGGTTACTGAGAGGATTAAACACAATAAATTAATAAAGAGTAATGAGTTAGTATATGGTACAAGGGAAACAGTAATAAAAAAAAATTAGCTACTCTGTAATGACCAGTACAAGATTAGTTAGCTGGAATCTTCCATTACCATAAGTAAATCAGTATCAACAGTTATGACAGGAGCAGGCATTGTGGCAACGCCACTGCTGGGGATGATGGCATCCCTTACAAAGCGCCGTGAACACAGCCCCCACCTCCACTTCCAATACAGTTTCCTATGAACACACCTGGGGGGCAACCTGGGCTATATTCTTAGGTTTCTGCCACCCACAGAGGAAACCTGCCTCTTGACTTCAAAGTCTGGCCCAGCCTCGGCTGCTATGGACATCTGGGAAGTGAAAACACAGGATTGGAAACATTCTCTCTCTCTCTCTCTGCTCTCCAGATAAAACTCATTTTAAAAAAAATGTTGGGCCCGGCGGCGTGGCCTAGCAGCTAAAGTCCTCGCCTTGAATGCCCCGGGATCCTATATGGGCGCCAGTTCTAATCCCGGCAGCTCCACTTCCCATCCAGCTCCCTGCTTGTGGCCTGGGAAAGCAGTCGAGAACGGCCCAAAGCTTTGGGACCCTGCACCCACATGGGAGACCCGGAAGAATTTCCTGGATCCTGGCTTCAAATCGGCATAGTATCGCCATTGCACTCACTTGGGGAGTGAATCATTGGACAGAAGATCTTTCTCACTGTCTCTCCTCCTCTCTGTATATCTGACTTTGTAATAAAAATAAAATAAATCTTTAAAAACAAATGTTTTTAGGGCCCAACATGGTAGTCTAGTGGCTAAAGTCCTTGCCTTGCAACCACCAGGATCTCATATGGGTACCAGTTCTAACCCTGGCAGCCCAACTTCCCATCCCAGCTTGTGGCCTGGAAAAACACTAGAGGACGGCCTAAAGTCTTGGGACCCTGCACCTATGTGGGAGACCCAGAAGAAGCTCCTGGCTTTTGATTGGCTCGGCTCTTGCCACTGAGGCCACTTGGGGAGTGAACCAGCAGATGGAAGATCTTCCTCTGTCTCTCCTCCTCTCTGTAAATCTCACTTTCCAATAAAAATAAATCTTTTAAAAAATGTTTTTTAAAAGAATTATACAATAACTAATGAAATAAAAATAAATCTGTACTAGGAAGGCAGTTGTTTAATGAGCAATTTTGAAAGCAGATGTTTGACTGCATTGGAAGAATTACAGAAAACACACTGCTCTTCGTGCCCACAAGGACACGAGCTTCCCGGAGTTTCAGTTTCCATGTGCTCACGTCCCAGAGGGACGTCTGACCTACCTGGTATCCCAGTTGTCAGAGCCAGTGTCGTACTTGTAAGTAGGTTGGAAGGTAAGCTCACCTTCTGTGAAGCCTTCAAAGACCATATTGGCAGCCACCTGAATTTTCAGCTATACAAAAGGATACAGAGAGAACACCTCAGAACAAAGAGGCCAAATCTAAATTAGCAGAGAAAAAAAAAAACAATTCTAGAACCCAAACCTTGTTGAGAAAGCAAAGGCCTCATAAGAGCATGTTCCCATGAGAGCCAAAATGGGGCAGTGGTCCAGGCTGGACATGGCTGCAGTGTCTCTTGGCATGGGTATGAAGGGGTCTGGACCACGCCAAACTGTGCCAGAGTTCAGCACCCACTGGTGTTTGTGAGAGCCAGGTTGAATGTAAAACGGGCTGGGCTAGGTCTCAGTTCCCACTGTGTCATGTCAGAGCTGTGTCAAGGCATTGACCAGGTGTGGCTGGGCTGTAATATCCAGTAGTAAGAACCGGACTGGGTGTGGGCCAGCTGGGTAAGGCCACTGTTCCTGCCAGGACAGGAGTGGACTAAGTCAGCCTGGGCCAAGGACTCACCAGTGTGCATGAGATCCGCCACTAGAAGGAGGCCCAATAGGGAGCTTCGGGAACTCCTTTGTCTGGACACAGTCCCTGCAGGTGAGTGCAAGAACCAAGGCAAGGAGGGCCCAGCGCGGTGGCCTAACGGCTAAAGTCCTCGCCTTGAACATGCTGGAATCTGATATGGTGCTGGTTCTAATCCCGACAACTACATTTCCCATCCAGCTCCCTGCTTGTGGCCTGGGAAAGCAGTTGAGGATGGCCCAAAGCATTGGGACCCTGCACCCACGTGGGAGACCTGGAGGAGGTTCCTGACTCCTGGCTTCAGATGAGGGCAACCACCGGCCGTTGCGGTCACTTGGGGAGTGAATCATCGGATGGAAAATCTTCCTGTGTCCTACTCTCTGTATATCTGCTTTTCCAATAAAAATAAATAAATCTTAAAAAAAAAAAAAAAAGGCACAGAGCAGCCCAGGCTAGGCCAGGCTACAGTATCCACAGGCATACGTGTGGCTCAGGTCTGAGGGCAGGACAGGCTAGACTAGTTCATCACACACACTTGCAGATCTGAGAAACAGGATGGAGGGCAGGACAGGTTTGGTTGGGCTGCAGCACCAGCCAGTTCACACTAGGGCTGGGAATGGGGGCTGACTATGCCAGGTTGGGCAGCAGCAGCCACCAGCGTGAGTTAGAACAGGAGCAGAACAGGATGAGGTGAGACAGACCATGTCAGACTGGGCTGCAGCACCCACCAGCACATGTGAGACCAGCTGGGGCCAGGTGGGGGGAAGGTGTGTGAACCTGGTAGGGGAATAGTGGGGACTCTTCTGCTTGGCCACTGCTCTTGCTGATGAGCATGAAAGCTGGAACTGGGAGCAGACCAGGTGGGGTAGGGCTACAATCTGTTGGTATTCACATAAACTAGGTTGCGGGAAGAGCCAGGCTGGGCTAACCAACTGTATCCACCGGTGCAGGCATGAGCCAGAGTAAGGGCAGGCAGGTTGGGCTTTGCCACAGCAGCAGCTGGCAAGTGCTAGGACTAGGGACAAGTGCTATCGAGATAGACTACAGAGCCACCTGGAGAGTACAAGATCTGGGTCCAGTGGGAAGACTGGACCTCTCTGATGGTCTGTAACTCCCACTCGTGAGCATGAGAACCAGGACTGGGGGTGGGTCTGGCTGGACAGGCAGTGGCACCTGCTGGTATGAATGTGGGCTGGAGCATAGAGTCCATTGAGCTGAGTTAGGCTTCAATGCCCAATGATGTATACAAGATCTCAATGGGAGGTGGGGCAGATAGGACCAGTCCACTGCACATGCTGGCAGGGACAGGAACCAAAACTGGGCAGCCGGTCCAGTGGGGATTATTGGGGGTTGTTCTGACTGGTCTGTAGCACTCTCTGGTGTTCATGAAAACTGAGCGTGTGTTGGGCAGGAATGAACTAGGCTGCAGCACCCACTGGTTTACAAAGGAGAGCAGAAAAAAATTGACTGGTCTTCCTAGCAAAGTTTGACAGCAAATTTCTGGGTGAATGGAGACTCAGAGGTGGACTATGTCAGCCAGTGGGCCTTGGAAGGATTTCCTTATCCTTCAGCTACACTTTAGTCAGTTAGTAGCATGTTATTTAACTTCTTGGTGCAGTTAATTTCTTTTTTTTTTTTTTTATTTTTTTTTTTTTTAAAGATTTATTTTTATTATTTTTTCATTGGAAAGGCGGATATACAGAGAGGAGAGACAGAGAGGAAGATCTTCCGTCCGATGATTCACTCCCCAAGTGAGCGCAACGGGCCGATGCTATGCCGATCCGAAGCCAGGAGCCTCTTCCGGGCCTCCCACGCGGGTGCAGGGTCCCAAAGCTTTGGGCTGTCCTCGACTGCTTTCCCAGGCCACAGGCAGGGAGCTGGAAGGGAAGCGGGGCTGCCGGGATTAGAACCGGCGCCCATATGGGATCCCGGGCGTGCAAGGCGAGGACTTAACCACTTGCGCCACCGCGCCGGGCCCGGTGCAGTTAATTTCTTTTTTCTTCCTGATATTGATTTTGTTTTGTGGCTTTTCATTTAAGGCGATGTATAGTAGCTACGTAATGGAGACTGTCATATCTAGTAACATGTTATTTAACTTTATGGCATTGTAAATTTCTACTTTTCTTTCCATTTTTGATTTTGTATTATGACTTTTCGTTTGAGGGGAGGTACAGTAGCTGTGAACTAACATGTAGTTGTGGACACTAACATATCCAGATGTGAGGATACACTGTAGTATGCATTCCTACTTTCAGACAAATGTGGACTTACAGTGAAACTGTTTACTGTATCTTGACAATAGAATGCTGGACTCTCTGTCACTGTCCATGCCTGCACTGATGGACATATGACTGTGTAAGAAAAACGATACTTTAGTAATGATATAGAGGAACTGGGGGGAGGCAGAAATTGGGGATAGGATAAGGCAAATATCAAGAGCCTGCGGAACTGTATCATAAAATGATAATAAAAAATAATAAAAAAAAACTTTAAAAATAAGATTTGAGTTAACCAAGTACTAGGTGGATGTACACGCTGACCACTCCTGCAACCATTCCTCCACCTCAGTGCAGGATTTAAGACTCTAAGAGCCCACCTGCACACAGGGGCCTGAGTTCCATCCTACTCAGATGTACTAGGATCCACTACAACACAGTTTGTCCATCATCCCTGTACCACATCTGCTCCAAATATACACAAAGTTGTGCTGTCAAGTTAGGTGAACTGAGAGAAGCTCCCTGCCTGTACCATTTAAATTTGTAATGAATCTACCCTAAAGCATCATCATAAAGGTTAACTGCCAGCTTACTACGGTACTGATTCTAAGAGTTCCGGACAAATGGCACTCTCACAATGGAGAAAAGCCTATGTTGAAGGTTTTGTCCACCAAATGTCTGCAGACCGCGTATCTCAGACGTTCCCGGCAGACTGAGAATTTTGCAGAAGGCAGACTTTCTCCTGAGACTGTAGGCCACCTTGCTGACAAAGCGTGCCCGGAGAGGTGTGAGACATCTTATCATCTGCCTCTTCCTCTTTAGTGATTGTGTCAAGTACAAAGTTGTGTTAGATCAGTTTGTTTACTGGTATTGGTTCCTGTAACTCATGTTTACTTATCCTGTTGCCTGAGACCTGGTGATTGTTCTCCTAATTCCTTGTGATCTATCATTGGAATGGCTTGTACGCTATTATTTTGCTAACTATTAACTTTTTACCTATTAGCTTGCTCTGCAAAAATATTGGCATAAGTTGCCCAGTAAAATTCAATACAGTGTACACTGGTTCATCTTGCCTTTGCATTCCGTGTCCCAAATTCTTCTTGGCGCAGATGTCATACCTTGAGTCCCAGTCCCCACTAGAAGGACCCCGAGGACCACCAGAAAGGTTAATTGCCAGCTTAGTATGGTATTGATTCTAGGAGTTCCAAACATATCGCACTCTCGCAGTAGAAAAAAGCCAGTGTTGCCGCTCCCACTAGAGCACCTGAGTTGGCCCCGGGTGGGATGTGAAGGACTGCCAACTCTCACGTGGGAGGCGGGTCAGCTATCCAGGGGACACTATAAGAGTACTTCCAATGCTGATGGCATAGACAGTCTTGGGCATAGTGGTTAGAACACTGCGGGTGGAAGAGTAGGGAGAGTCTGGCAGCATGATAGTTCAGCCGACTAATCCTCCACCCCCAAAAACCAGCATTCCGTGTGTACAATGTTTGTGTCCTGGCTGTTCCACGTCCCATCCAGCTCCCTGCTTGTGGCCTGGGAAAGCAGCAGAGGATGGCCTAAAGCCTTGGGATGCTGCACCCACACGGCAGACCCAGAAGAAGCCTCTGGCTTTAAATCGGCTCAGACGGGCCATTGTGGCCACTTGGGAAGTCAATGATCAGATGGAAGATCATCCTCTCTGCCTCTCCTTCGCTCTGTAAACCTGCCTTTCCCACAAAAATAAATAAATAAATAAATAACGCTGCTTGGGGTGCCCATCTCAGAGAGTCTGGGTTAAGGTGTCAGTTCTACTTACAATGCCAGCCTCCTGCTTACGTACACAGCAGGGGGCAGTAGGCGAAGGCTAAGCAGTTGAGTCCCAGCCACCCAAATGGGAAACCCAGAACAAGTTCCTGGCTCCCAGCCTCAGCACAGCCCAGCACAGCCCCACCTTGCAGACATCTGGGAATGAACCAGTAGATGTAAAATCTGTTTCTACCTTTATAATAAATTTTTTTTTTAGTTTATGTGAAAACAAAATTAAAAGGTAAGCTTATTTTCAAGCAAAAATCCGGCAGTCTTTCCATAATATGCATTTAAATTTTTTTTATTTTATTTGAAATGCTGAAACAAGGAGACACAGCAATTTTCCACCCAGTGTCTCACCCTGCAAATGCCTGCAACAGCCAGAGGCTGGGCCAGGCTGAAGCCAAGAGCCAGAAACTCCATCCAGGCATGCCACACAGGTGAAAGGAATCCAAGCATCTGAGCCAAGCCTCACACAAGCCTTGAGCCTCTCACAGCTCAAGGAAGCTGCATCATACGCACAGGAGTTAAACGTGAAGCAAGCACTCAGATACAGGATATGGGCACAATACACAATTTTCTTTAGCTTTTTGAAGACCTTACATGCATGGATTTCAAAATTATTTTAAAATAAAAAATAAAGTTATCTTATATTTTTACTTCTCACAAACTTTTTGAAGTACTCTCATATTTGCCAATTTCCTAAAAATACCTTGCTTAAAACACCATAAAGAAAAAGCAACCAAAAAATTTTTTCATATGAACCTAAGCTGATGCTTTCCCAGTGGGTACAGTTAGTCTAACACCAACAGGAGGGGCAGGAAAGTGGTGCAGAGGTTAGGCTGCACCTTGGGACACTCCATTCAACACTGCAGTTCCTGGCTCCCATCCTGACTCCTCTGCTTCAGATCCAACTTCCTGCTAACGCACCTGGGAGGCAGCAGACAATGATGACTCACATGCGTCCATCCCCTGTCACCCAAGTGTAGGTGACAGATGGGACTCCTGCTGCTGGCTTCAGCTGCCCCAGCCCTGACCATGGCGGGCACTAGGGGAGACAGCACATGGAAGTCTCTCTGTCTCCATCTGTTGCTGTGCTTGTCAGGTATGTGAAATTTTTTTTTTGTAAGATCTATTTATTTTTATTGGAAAGGCGGAGAGACAGAGAGGAGAAGACAGAGAGAAAGATCTTCCATCCGATGGTTCACTCCCCAAGTGGCCGTAACAGCCAATCTGAAGCCAGGAGCTCTTCCAGGTCTCCCACGCAGGTGCAGGGTTCCAAGGCTTTGAGCCGTCCTCAACTGCTGTCCCAGGCCACAAGCAGGGAGCTGGATGGAAAGCAGGGCCACCAGGATAAAAACCAGCGACCATATGGGATCCCAGCGCTGCAAGGTGAGGACTTTAATCACTACGCTATTGCTCCGGGCCCAGGTAAGTGAATCTTAAGAAAACCAGAAACAAGACCTGGAAAGGAGATTTTTTTTTCCAGGAGATTGGAGAAGGCAAGTGAAGATGAACATGAAATTATAAAAGAAATTGTAAGATACAAGCAGAGCTAGAACAAACTAGGTTAATGCTAACCTAGGAATCAAGTAGAATAAAAATAATTTACTAAAGAAAAATGTAAGAAAAAACTGGGTCAATATAATAGGCCACAGAGAAAAACATAATAAAGATTCTTTTTCTTCAATTAACATGTATTGACAAAAAAAAAAGTGGGGGAGAAAAAGAGTGAGATTTAGACTAATGACTATATTTAGGCTATCAAGGAAGTTCATAGACTTTTTAAGAAAAGAATTTCAGGGTCCACACTGCGGCTCAATAGGCTAATCCTTCATCTTCAAGCACCAGCATCTAAATGGGCGCCAGTTCGTGTTCCAGTTGCTCCACTTCCCATGCAGCTCCTGACTTACGGCCTGGAAAAGCAATAGAGGATGGCCCAAAATCTTGGGGCCCCTGCACCTACGTGGGAGGCCAAGAAGAAGCTCCTGGCCCCTGCTTTGGATCAACTCCTGCCGTTGCACTCTTTCAGGGAGTAAACCAGTCAATGAGATCTTTCCCTCTCTGCCTCTCCTTCTCTCTGTAAGTCTGAATAAGTAACTGGTAGAGTACAAGAGAGCAAGAACAAGTTCTTGCCCTAAGGAATGAGCCACTGGAGACTACTGGGGGGTCAGATGAAAATGCAGATGAAATGAAGGCAAAATGGGGTGTCAGGGCCTCGGGGAGACTGCCCAAGCCAAGAATGAAAGGCTGCGTGTTGGTAAGCCATGGGGACAGCAACTGCCTGGACCCGTTTGTACCTGATCGTATGCATACAGGGCTTGGAAGTCCTTCTCTTCAATGAGCTTTTTCACTTTTTCCACATCCAGCTCTTCTATCCTGTAGTTGAGGTCCCCCAGCCACAAGATCACACTGTGAGGACAGAACACAAAGGTAACAGGGTTGGTGGTACAAATCCTGAACCCATACCGTGGAGGGTACTTCTACAGCCCCAGGAGCTCGGCTGGAATGTGACTCAGCTGTCAGGAAATTTTTCCTTCTCTTGCTATTCCAATTAATATCACATTTAAAATGCTGCTTGCTCAATTATCTTGGTCCCAAGTTCGCTAAAAATAGCTTTGAGTTCTCCATGGCTGGAAAGATGGTCTAGTAAGATCTAAAAACAAGATCATAGTTTATCTCATTGCTGGGAAGAGGCAAACATGAATGAGAATTGGAAATGTCAAACACCCAGGGACCCCGAACCAGGTGCTGGTGACTGCCTCTGCCCCGTTGCACCAAACACGTTCTCAATCTGTGTGTGCAGCCTGGACTTCCCATCACTTCTCAGCCTTTTGGCCAAGTGTAGAGTGGAATTCCTCTGGGAAAAAGCTCAGCCTTTGGAGCAGAGCCTGGGTTTAAAAACCACATCATCACTGGCCTGGCTCATTTTACACTCGTCAGCAAAGCTGAAGATTGGGGAAAACTGAACTGAAGATTTTTTGATGACATTACACATCTCATTAAGCCCACAACCTTTTCTATCTGAAGCCAACAGCCATGTCATTAGAGAATCTACAGTCTACACGCCCCAAATCCAATGTGTCCACAGTAAAGAGCTGACCCACCGACCTACAGGCTGCAAGCTCACAAATTAGGATGCTGCAAGTGCACAGAATGGAAGAGCTGGCTTGTAGGACACAACCCTTGCTAGTTAGAGGCCCTGCAAAGAAAATCCAGAACACAGGGAATGCTGAGATCGTCCCAACGGCAGCAGGACAAGAGGTATGACTTGGAACTCCCTGGCAGGTACCACAGCCCCAGGCACAGTTTCTTCTATGTGAAGGAAATAGCGTAAGTTTCAACTGCTGACATAAGTCTAAAATTTGAAGATTCAGAATTTAGATGAGCAGCAAGTTTTAGACAAATAACATGAAGTTTAATCAACAGGTAAAAATGACCAAGTGGAAGCCAATAAGCCTGGTAGTAGTGCCAATGACACGTGCTCTGAAAGGAACGGATGCAAAAATCTTAGAGGATACTTATAAAAACTGGGCTTAAGACGCTAGCTAGCTCTTTGGTTATTCTCCTCATGATGTCAGATCAAGGCAAACCCATATTAAAATTAATCTTACACTTTACTAAGGACAAATGCTATTTAACAGAGTCTAAGGGTCTGCCCAAGGGGTACTAAAACTTTCCAAAAGTCCTACTCTACAAGTAAACCCAGAGCTGGCAGATGCTGCACTTTCCCAGTGATCTTCCCAACAACACACAGAGCCCACCACTCTACACATGGTGAACCAGATGGGGCAGGAGCCCAGGCTCAGGACTCACTCGTGTTTGCCGATGGTGAGAGGGGGACGACTTGGGTCAACCTGACAAAACTGCATTCGAGAGCAGATGTCTTTATAGTCCTGGTTCCTCCTCTCATACTCTTCTGTGTGGGCTGCCAGATGAGAATTCACAATGCAGATGCTGGTGTTATGGAACTGGAACCTGATGGCCACACCTCCTTTGTTACCCTATCAAAAGGAGCCCAGAGAATATGAACCATAACTTAACTGTGTCAGTCATTTATACCCACGACTTTCAGAGCATTTTAGCTCAGTCTCCATAATAACCCTGTGAATTATTATCTGTATATTACAGGAAAAAAAAAAACAATTCTAAAAGGCAAGATAACTGGCTGGTTGGTGGCAGTCCTTATTTTTTGTTTTGCTTTTATTATTATTTTTAGTAGAAGTCAAGTTTAATGAAAAGAAATAAAGAAAATACAGCTCATAGACCAGGCAGGCAAAAGTTCCCTGATGGGTGGAGAGTTTCCTGGGCTTGAGAGACCTAAAATTCCTCCCAGAACTTCACAATGGATTCAGTAACCTTGGTGTAGGGTGGGGAGAGTCCCCTAATCTGCTTTTAGGAGTGCAGACACACCCTACCAGATTACTGAACAATGACAACATTCCTGATATGTAAATGCTGGCCTGCTTCTACAGCTCTTGCCTCATCCAACCACACAAGAGATCCACCCAACAAGGTATTCAAGAGTATTACTTTAGAATAATAATGCTGTTTTTTCTTTTTTTTAAACCAAAGTTTTCTGCTCTGTTTCTTTCCTTCATCTGTTTGATGGCAGAACTGAGCCCAGAGCCTCATTCTCAATCTGGTGCTCTTGCACTAAATCACAGGTAAGCCATATGCTCTTCTCTACACAGGGTTAAGCTCTTGCAGGAGAATCTAAAAGCAAGTCTCAAAGAGCATGAAGAAAAACAGAAAACTACAAACTTGTCAGCACTGTTTCCTTCGAAAATAGTTTCTTTCACCTACTTCACGGATTATACGGCAGAGCAACTGCAGGCTCCAGTGTGTGAACAGGAGGCAGGTGTTTGTTGGAGAATCACCTGGAAATTCATTGAACTATGGCTTCTAAAGCCTACTCAATCCAGCCCTGCCTGAGGACACATTTCACATTGTCATACCAGCACCCTCAAACTGAGACACATGAAGTATCTGTCTGCGTCATGAGAAGCTGGATCAAAACACCACAGGAGGGGCAGATTTGTGGAACAAATAGTAAAGCTGCCACTTGCAATGCCAGCAACCTACAGCCCACTGCCTGTTCTAGCCCCAGCTACTCTGCTTCCCATCCAGCTTCCTGCTAATGGTCACCATGTAGGAGACCAGGCTGTAGTTCCAGGCTTTTGGCTTTGGCCTGGTCCAGTCCTGGCTGTTGCAGTCATTTGAGAAGTGAATCTCTCTCTCTCTGCCTTTCACATAAACCTCAAGAAGACAAAAGCAAACATCCTAGGGATCAAGGTTCTCTGTTATCAAATACCACAACTCACCATCCTCCCCATGATTCCCGTTCCCACAGTCTCGGCTTCTACTTCTGAGATGTATGCTGCGTGTTCCTGTTTGACGTACAGCAGCAGCATGATCCCAACTAACCGGATGAGCTTCACCTGGAAAACATACCCACACACGCCAATGAGGACATCCAGTACCTGGACAAGTGGCCGCCAACAACAAAGGTGCAAAGGGAAAGGAGCCTCCTGCTGGCAGAGAGCACCAATGTATGCTTCTGCACAGCATCACCACGGAATCACCTCTTCAACTCCCTGAGTATCTGTGATAACCTAAGCAACCCGTCTTTCACTGAGGCACTCCTTCTAGAGGTCCTGGAACAGAACTAGGGCTGGCTTACAACGAAAGCTCATAGAAAAGACAAACACCTCTCAGAATTTTCTCGCGTGACAATCTATTCCTGAGTCCTCTCTCACCTTTGCGTATTTGGCACCTGGGTGAAGGCCGTCGGACACAGCTTTGAACCACTCTTCCTCCTTTGGGGTATCATGAAAGAAAAAGGCTTCTTTACTCAGGTCAAGTTCCTGGAACCTACACAGTGGAGAAACGGAACACACAGATGAGATGTTCAAGTTAAAGCATGTGCTTAATAACCCCCCAGAGCCCAGGAACCAAATGTCAAAGGTCTTCCCAGGGCATTCTCAACACTAGCCACCAGCTTCCTCTTCCTGCCACACGGCTGGAAGCATCCCCATTTCACATCTGCAACCACTGGTCCACATAGGCACCACACTGGGATTCAGAACTCAGTCTATATAAATTCTAGTCTCTAGCCCTCTCCATTATATGACACAGGCTTTCTTTACTGCTCCTCATCAAACATGCCCACTTCAGACAGTAAGAGCACAAAAAAACAAGAGAGGTTAAATGATGGTATTTTCTTTAGCTAGCCCTCATTCCCTGGTAAGATACTTTTGTTTTGTGACCAAAGTATGGAATGTCCCAGTAATGACATTCAGTTCAGGGTATACTGACTGCATCAGAGGTCTGCACTAAAAATTAAACATCAGCATTTTAAGGGCAAGCACAGCGCCTGCCAGAGATTCCTTTACTGGGAGTAAGAACATCAAAGACAGAAGCAGCTTTTATCAAGCACATGCCCATTTATCAACTCCTTCACCTGCTAGGAAGATATAGTCATGTGTTTGTGTGACCATGCCTTCACCCACACCTGGATGTTCCCTGGGATAGAGACATGACCTCGAGAGAAACAGCACTCACCCTACACAGTATACGTCTGGCGCCTCAGCACTATGACTCAGCCAGGGCCGGAGGCATTCTTTGGGGGACTGTCCGTTCACATTGTATGTGCCCACAAAAAACCTGAAGCCAAAAAGAATAAATCAGTGACTTGGACCATGATAGATATGACACAGGAAAAAAACTTTATATGCAGACGGTGCCTGGTTTTGGTCTCTATGGATGGCATTTTAAGACAATAAGAGATGTCATTTCTAACCTGAAATAGACTGTGATGCCAAGAGGTGATGTGCTATGATACCTGTCACTTTTGTGAAAACAACATTAAATGGTACAGACCTACTTAAACATTACACAGCCATCTTCCAAGAAATGACGCCTCACCCTGTATCCACCACAGAAATGAAAAACAAAAATCACAAAAGTTTGGTAGTTACTCAGGGCTGGAAACAACAACTCTGCTCAAAAGGCTACTCCTTCTCAGTGACTCAAGGTTTTTATCTCCAGTAACAATGGCATTTTGCCTGACAGTCCCAACACAAAGATTTAAAATGACTATCAGAATCCTGCAACCTTTATTCTTTTCACTTTCAGTAGCCCTGTTTAAAGAAGACTACCCAACCCCAGCTAACTTCATTCTCAATGACTTTCTTCAAAGGCTCAGTACTCAGGAAATGGGACACTCAGGATGAGGGGGTGAGCAGCACTGTGACACAGTGGGTTAGAGCCCATATGGGCAACAGAGTAATTCCAGGCTGCTCTATTTTCAATCCTTAGCTCCCTGCTAAGGCACCTGGAAAAGCAGCAGAAGATGCCCAAGTGCTTGGGCTCCTGCACCCACATGGGAGATCCACAAGGCACACCAGGCTCCTGGCTTCAGCCTGGCAGAGCTCCAGCCATTGTAGCCATTTGGGAAGTGAACTAGTGGATGGTCAATTTCCCCTCCCCATCGCCCCCATAACTCTGCCTTTCAAATGAATAGTAAATCTTCAAAAACTAAAATAAATCCTCAGAGAGATACACAAAGATCCTGCTTTGGTACTCAGTGATCTTTGCAAATACCTCTTACCTCTCTGTAAGCTATGGCATCCTCACTACACCACACCAACCACAGTGCCTGCCCAGGAGAGCACAGAATTTAACATTCATGAAGACTGAGTGGAATTACTCCTTTTGAAAATGAGAGATTCTAAAGAATGATCTGTTTCCAAATTAAGGCGAGGGGAAGGAAGTGCTTAAAGTACAGAAAGCTGCATAGCCATTTCTGCTTTGAGAAAAAAAAAAAAAAGGACACAGTCTAGGATGCAGTCAGCTACCTGAAGTTCTGGATGTAGGTATAGTCCGCTTCTTTCTGTATTAGTTGCGACTTCACAATTGTATCTCGCAATCCAAACTTCTGCATGGATAAGATATGAGCCTTGTCTGATACTGTGACAGTAGAGGAGTGAACCATGGTAGTAATTTCAGGCTTGTTCTTATTCTGTCTGGAAAAAAAATATTTATTTATTTATTTATTTATTTATTTATTTTTATGGGCAAGGCAGATTCACAGAAAGCAGATATAATGAGAAAGATCTTCTGTCCACTGGTTAACTCCCCAAGTGGCCACAGCAACCAGAGCTGTGCTAATCTGATGCCAGGAGCTTCCTCTAGGTCTCACATGCAGGTGCAGGGTCCCAAGGCTTTGGGCCATCCTCCACAGCTTTCCCAGGCCACAGGCAGGGAGCTGGATGGGAAGTGGAGCAGCTGAGACATGAACCAGCGTCCGTATAAAAACCCAGCGTGTGCAAGGCAAGGATTTAGCCCCTGAGCTATCGCATTGGGAGCAAAAAACACATTTTCTCCCTCTCTCTTTCTTTTTTTATTCTTCCATAGCAAATCTGAACACAAATCTTACACACCAATCTGAACACACTCATAAGATCTGAGTCACAGAAGACCACATGAGGTCATGCAAGGGGCCAGTTTTTAGCTCCAAGTTTTAAAGGTCACAATGGAAGTGCCTGGGTTCGAGGTCTGGCTCAGCTTCTGGTTCCAGCCTCCTACTAATGAGCACCCAAAAGGCAGCAGTGATGCTCAGGCGTGGGGGTGCTCTGCCACTCATGTCTGACACTTGTCTTCAGATCTGCATTCCTGGCTTCGGCCTGGCCTCTTCCTGGCGACTGGGGACACTTGGGGAGGAAATCAGTAGGTAGAAGATTCTTTCTGCTTTTACACAAAATGAAAATAGCAAAGTGTTTAAGTCATGAAAAAAAAAAAAATGAGGTCAACGCAAAAGTCTGCTGTTTCTACACAGAATTTATGTGTTGCTAATGCCACAGTGTGTTGTGCTGGAGACTTTTCTGATAATAAATTCATAGACTCTCAGGCCAGAAGGAGACCTTGAAGATAAGCTGATACCTTCATTTTCAAAAGAGAGTGTCACCAAGGGTTCACCCAGCTGGACGGCAGCAGGGTGCAGATCGGAACTCAGATCTGGATACTAGGGTTTTGTGTAACAAGACCACAGACCTTATGATTCTACTTCCGTATCTCTTGCACAGAAATTACACAACATAAAAAGAAAGGCAATGAAGGCTTACATCTCATTATTGCCTGTTTAAAGTCACACCACAAACTGTCCAAGTGCCAACAGAAGCAAAATTGACATATTTTTTTAAAAGATTGACATATTTACCTAAGAAAAGTCTATGAAACAGCTCAAGAAACTTCTGTTGAAAGTTACCTAATTAACCGAGACGTAAAAGCACTTGAAGCAGTGTCTAACACTGAACAAATGGCCATATTAAGTGTTTAACATTACAACTGGCATGTGCATATTAATTAAAACCACGTAAAAAATATATCTGTTTATACTAAAGCAGTACATAGAACATTTAACGTTCAGGGATCATCTCATGCCGCATAAGTCTGTGCTGAAGATACTGACACAAACCATGAAGCATTATTCTGACCAGATGATTCTAAGGACGGTCAGCAGGAGGCACTGTAGCACGGACTAGGTATAATATAGGAAAAACGAAAAGGAGACAAAGCAATGAGGGAACTCCAAAAAGAATGGGAGGGAGAAAGCAAGTGTGTCTAAAGCACAGACCCCAGCCGCATCTCCTGGCTTGGCCACCTGCCAGTACAGCCAGGTAGACAACCTGTTCAGGGTCACCAGCTTGGAAGTCACTCCCCAGGTGTTCCCTCCTGCCCACCTATGATGCTCACCTATCATAACCTGGAACTTGGACAGGGCGTATCGCATTGTTGAATAACCACTCCCCTTGCAAGCCCCATAAAAGCCCACGATTGGGAGGGGCTCGCTCTCTTGGTGCTGTGCTTCCCTCACTCTAGCCCTCTTGGCTTTCCCAGTACCTGCTTGTCTCTGGCTTCCCACATACAGACTCCAAGGACAGGGAGCCTGTGAGCATGGCCCCTGTGTGTCTGTATTGCTCATCCTCTGTTCACTGCTTGGGCAGGATAGTGAAGAGAGCAATGCTAAGACACTTTGTATATTTAATGTGTGTATTTTCGAAGGTTGCAGGAGAGGTGAGGCCTAGCAGTAGTGGAATGTGGGTAGAGAAGCCAGGGAAAGGTGAATGTCTGCAGCTTTGTAAGTGTGTCCATGTATTTCATTGCATGTCTCTTAGGATAACTTACATTGTTGGGGAAGCCGGGACATAGGTTTTCAGTTTAACAGATGGACTTCAGGGTAATGACCATTTGTTCCTCTTGGGGTTACAATTGACTGGATTGCCACATGCACCTGTGATTTACTAGTTCGAGTGGGCCCCGTTATCACCAAGCTTGGTTAACAAAGACTCCTTAATAAACCTTAGATTTGTCTGTGATCTCGCTCGCACCTGACAACGCCGGCTCAGGGACTTTGGGCGATGTGACTAATTCCTCACCTGCTTGGCGTTAAAGGATAGTGCCTGGCATGTACAGCAAGTGCTCAGTAACTGTCAAGTGCTCTTAGGAGCATTTCTTAGGCCAGCTAACTCCCAGCACGCGCAGCAGCGGTCTCATAGTGCAATGTGCAGATCTCAGTCCTGGGAGGCTGCAAAGGCAGAGCTACCTTACCTTGTGACAAAGTGGTCTGGTTTGTCCTGACCCCTGGAGCTGTGCTCCATAGGCACAACTTTCCCTTTCGGCCTTAAGTCATCAAAGTTAGAACCACCTAAAAGGAAGGAAAAGAAATTAAAATATACTTTAAAATATATGTCACATACGGGCCCGGCGCAGTGGCACAGTGGTTAAGGTCCTGGCCTTGCACGCCCGGGATCCCATATGGGCGCCGGTTCTAATCCCGGCAGCCCCGCTTCCCTTCCAGCTCCCTGCCTGTGGCCCGGGAAAGCAGTCCAGGACGGCCCAAGGCTTTGGGAACCTGCACCCGTGTGGGAGACCCGAAAGAGGCTCCTGGCTTCGGATGGGCATAGCATCAGCCGTTGCGCTCACTTGGGGAGTGAATCATCGGACGGAAGATCTTCCTTTCTGTCTCTCCTCTCTGTATATCTGCCTTTCCAATGAAAAAAATAATAAAAATAAATCTTTAAAAAATATATATATATGTCACATAGCCTAAAGCCAGTGCCATGATGTAGTAGGCAAACCTCCACCAGTAGTACCAGTGCTGGTTTGTGTCCTGGCTGCTCCACTTCCTACCCAGCCCCTCGTTAATGCACCTGGGAAAGCAGCAGAACAAGGCCCAAGTACTTGAACCCCTGCACCTACATGGGAGACATGGGAAAGGCTCCAGCCTCCTGGGTTCGTCCCGACCCAGCCATGGCCATTGCAGCCACCTGGGGAATCAACCAGCAGACACAAGATTCTTTCCTCCTCTCTCTAGAACTCTTTTTTTTTTTTCAGCTTTATTTATATATTTTTTAAAGATTTATTTTATTTTTATCATAAACTCAGATATTCAGAGAGGAGAGACAGAGAGGAAGATCTTCCAGCTGATGGTTCACTCCCCAAGTGAGCACAATGGCCGGTGCTGCGCCGATCCGAAGCCGGGAACCAGGAACCTCTTCTGGGTCTCCCACGTGGGTACCCGGCTTTGGGATGTCCTTGACTGCTTTCCCAGGCCACAGGCAGGGGGCTGGATGGGAAGTGGGGCTGCCAGGATTAGAACCGGCGCCCATACTAGATCCCAGCGCGCTCAAGGCAAGGACTTTAGCCACTAGGCCACGCCGCCGGGCCCCAAGCACAGATTTCTTAAGGATGCACTTAGGTCATGCAGAAACAAACATGCAAACCAAGCACACACACACACACACACACTCTCTCTCTCTCTCTCTTTCATCAAGGAAAGTAATCACGCCTCAATGCTGCTAACTAATCAGGTGCAAGGGACTGAAAATTTACACTCCCTCCGCCTCCCAAATTCATACACTGAAATCCTAAGGTGCAACCGTCATGAATGGTAAGAGGCAGCCCCACTTTGCTGTGGCGACACAGCAAAAAGAGCCTTCTGTGAACCAGGACCGTAAGGTGGCTCCAACTTCAAAACTAACCAAAATGCCTTTTCCCCCTTAAGCGTTTATTTACTTTCTGCAGGGCACAGCTGCAGGGGCAGAAGTCTGCCCTCTATGTGCTGGTTCACTCCTCAGATGTCTGCAAAAGTAAGAGCTGAGTTAGGCTGAGAGCAGGAGCCATCTCTGAGTCGGGCCATCTCCTGCTCCCAGGCCATCAGGAGAGAGCTGGAGGCAAAGTGGAACAGCCAAACTGGGGATTACATGGGATGTCAACATTGCAGACAGAGGCTTAATTCACTACTTCATAACACCAGCCTTCAAATAAACATCCTTACACCAGTCTACGGTATTTTGTGGCAATAGTCTGAGCAGATTGACACAAAGCCTGTTCAATTCTGTTTCCCAAGTGATCCCTCAAATCAAGATATTCCTATCACTACTGTCACCGCATTAGTGTAAGTCATCAGCATCTTCCCATGCCTCCAAACACCTCAACTAGGGGTGGGCAGCTGGCACAGTGGCTTAAGTTGCCAATTGCAATTCCCGCATCAGATGCCAAGAACAGAGCTCAAGTCCTCGCTACTGTTTCTGATCCACCATATCCTAAGCAGCAGCAGACAGGGGCCCAGCAGCGTAGCCTAGCAGCTAAAGTCCTCACCTTGAATGCGCCAGGATCCCATATGGATGCTGGTTCTAATCCCGGCAGCCCCGCTTCCCATCCAGCTCCCTGCTTGTGGGCTGGGAAAGCAGTGAAGGACGGCCCAAAGCCTTGGGACCCTGCACCCATGTGGGAGACCTGAAGGAAACTCCTAGCTTCTGGCTTCGAATTGGCACGGCACCAGCCGTTGCGGTCACTTGGGGAGTGAATCATCGGACAGAAGATATTCCTCTGTCTCTCCTCTCTGTATATCTGACTTTGCAATAAAAATAATAAAAAATAATAATAAAAGCTCAAAAAAAAAAAAAGGCAGCAGCAGCAGCAGCAGCAGAAGACCACAGCTCAAGTTATTCACACTCCCATCCCTGGGAAGACCCAGAGAGAGCTGGGCTCCTGACTTCAGCTGGAACAGTCCTGGCTGCTGTAGGCATGTGGGGAGTCAGTCAGGGGGTGGATCTGTCTGTTTTACAAATAATTAAAACACATACACACACATTTCTACACTGTAGCCAGAGGGACTTACGAAAAAATACATCTAATTGTCATTTCAAACCTTCAAAGACCCCTCAGATTCATTTCTATGGCCAACAATGGTCTTCCTCACGTGCACCTTGCCCTTCCAGCCTCCACACTAACCTCAGTGCTCTGGTCCCTTCACCTCCCTGACACGCCCTCAGTATATTTCAGCTATTACAGCAGCACAAAGGTCCCACCAGAACCGGCTTCCCACTCGGCATTAGGTCGCTAACACCTGCCCCTTTGGTGGCCAGGGGTCGGCACACATATCTAGGCTTTGCAGGCAGACCATCGTCCCATAATGGCTCCAAATCTGCCATTACAGTGCCAAAGCAGCCGTGAGGACTTTACTTACGTGGCCTGAAATTTGAATAGAATTTTTCACATCATAAAATGTCTTTTTTTGAGTCTTTTCAAGCATTAAAGAATATAAAAACTATTTTTAGCTCTTCAGTTGGAAAAGCAGGTGGCAGGCTAGATTTGGCCTATGGACTGTCTTAGGCAATCCCTGCTGTAGGCCACACCTTAGCAGTCAGCTTTCCCAAGCAGTCAACCCTGACCTCTCCCAGCCTTTGCTCCTGCAGCTCCCTGTATTTCCTCAATCGCAGCACTGCTTGCTACAGACTGCAGCCTCTTGTCTCCCCAGCTGGATGAAAGTATTTCTGGTTTACTCATCACGGTGTCCTCTTCACTGAGCACACCACCCAGCACATGACAAGTGGCGCTGCGACTGGATAAACAGAAAATACTAGGCGATTCTGAATCCCTTGTTTAAATACAAAGTATCCAAGTTCAAGCCTACAGCATAGGTTTCCATTGTCCTGGGTAATCTTGCCATTGTCTTCCAACAAAAATAAGAACAGGAGATCTGGCACAGTTTGTTTTTAGAGTACTTCTACACTATGGTTACCTGGTAATTACTTCTGCAAACTAAATCCCCAGTGGGATGCAACCTCTCCTGCTGTCCTCCCCCAGGGACATAAAGTTTAGGGAACTAAGGTATTTCCGTTAAGGAAGGGCCTACGGGGATGTCCATCAGGATGGCTACATTAACTGCTGACAGGAATACAAAACAACAGTACCTCTCACTCCTGCTTCTAGGATGGAAAACGACGCTGCCAATTTAGGCAAAGGTTTGGCACTTTCTTACAAAGTTAAACCGGCTCAACAGAGGATGCATTGCCTTATGCCTAAGTATTTATTACACTGCAAATTCATGTCCACATAACAACCCACACACAAATAGGTATAGTTACTCTAATTGCTAAAAACTGGAAACAACCGAGATGTCACTCAACAGATGAATGGAGAGACAAACCATAGTACATCCTAATAGTGCAATATTATTCAGCAATAAAAACAAACAAGTCAGAAAACCACAATGGGTCCAGCGCAGTAACCTAGCAGCTAAAATCCTTGCCTTGAATGCAACAGGATCCTATATGGGCACTGGTTCGTTTTCCAGCAGCCCCGCTTCCCATCCAGCTCCCTGCTTGAGGGCTGGGAAAGCAGTAGAGGACATCCCAAAGCCTGGACACCCTGCAACCATGTGGGGGACTGAAGGCGGCTCAGGGCTCCTGGCTTCGGATCGGCACAGCTCCAGCCATTGTAGCAACTTGGGGAGTGAATCGAAAGACAGAAGAGCTTCCTCTCTGCCCCTCCTCTTCTCTATATATCTGACTTTACAATAGAAATAAACAAACCTGGGTCCAGCACAATACCGTAATGGTTAAGGTCCTCTCCTTGAACAGTAGCTGAGCTGATCTGAGCCAGGAGCCAGGAACCCCCTCCAGATCTCCCACACGGGTGCAGGGTCCCAAGGCTTTGGGCCATCCTCGACTGCTTTCCCAGGCCACAGGCAGGGAGCTGGAAGGGAAGCAGGGCTGCCGGGATAGAACCGGTACCCATATGGGATCCCGGGCGTGCAAGGTGAGGATCTTAACCACTTGCGCCACCGCGCCGGGCCCTCTCCATTTTTTTTTTAAAGATTTACTTTTTAAAAAAAAAAAAAATATTGGAAAGTCACATCTAAAGAGAGGGAGACAGAGAGAAAGATCTTCCATCTGTTGATTCATTCCCCAAGTCACGAAAATGGCCAGAGGTGAACCCATCAGAAGCCAGGAGGAGCATCTTCCAGGTCTCCCACGCTGGTGCAGGGTCCCAAGGCTTTGGGCCGTCCTCGACTGCTTTCCCAGGCCACAGGCAGGGAACTGGATGGGAAGCGGGGCCACCAGGATTAAAACCGGTGTCCGTATAGGATACCGGTACATGCAAGGCAAGGACTTTAGCCACTGGGCTACAGTGCTGGGCCACAGTTTTTCTTTTTAAAGATTTATTTTTCTAATGGAAAGGCAGATTTATAGAGACAGACAGAAAGATCTTTCGTCACTGGTTCACTCCCTAAGTGGCTACAATGGCTAGAGATGAGCAAACAGGTAGCCAGGAGCCAGGGGCTTCTCCCAGGCCTCCCATGCTGGTTCAGGGTCCCAAGGCTTTGGGCTCTGTTTCACTGCCTTCCCAAGCCACAAA